AAAAAAAAATGTTTGCAAGGAACCAGCTTCTCTCCTGTTTTGGTTTTGCTGCACATGTTGAGTTCTAGCCTAAATTTTATTAACTGAGTTTTTTCTGCCTCAAGACAAAAAGCTGCAGAAAGATCTTTGCTTGCTTACTTCTGTGATCTACTCTTCAGCTTGGAGTCAAGGAAATGTTTTTAAAAGGGACAGAGATTGGAGAGCAGAGATGGGGAGTTTAGTTTTAGCACCTAATTGGGGGGGGGCTGTCATTGAGGTTTTGGATTCTGAGTCTGATGATTACAACAGCTCCTGAGATGTTCTTGGAAGGTGAGCCATTGGCATCAGTTGAACAGCCAAATGAACAGGCAGAGGAGGTGGGTCCAGCTGGCAGGCAGAGGAAACAGCTGCTGCTCATATGCAGTGAAGAAGATGATCAGCTGTCACTGTTTCCATTGTTACACAATGAGGAAGACAAAACTGCCAACCTCTTCCAATGCATAGGCACATAGAGCAGAGCGTAGGGAGGAATAGCAGAGGTCAGCTTGGCTAAGCAAGAGGAAGCAGCCCTGGCTTCCCAAATGAGACACACTGGGCTGTTCTTATTTAAGAAAAAATTAGAGTTAGGATTGATGTTTCCATGCCTTTCAATGTCTTACCTTTGTCTTGCCTTTCCTAGTCTTGCCGATCTCATCCCTTTGCCTCATGCTTATGATCCTGACTGGTCAACAACCTCTTCTGAGCATTGTAGTCCAGGACTATTTCACCACTCTTGTGCCTGACCCTCTGAACTCTTTACTCATGCAAGCTGCTAGACTGGTAGAAACTGGATTACTTCAGGTGTGTTGGCATATAGCTTTTTGTTGCTTGTTTTTTTAAAAAAATATGTTTTATTTATTTTGTACATAATCACCTTAATACTTGGTAAACAGCGTGTTGTCTGGGTTAGTATTTACAAAACAATCAATAACAATTAATTTCTATAATATTATAGTCTATATAATGGCTTTGCTTGATTTTCTCTTCTTCCAATAATATTCTCTTTTGTCAACCTTAAATTAATACATTTCTTATTATTTACATAAATGACAATTAAATATAGACATTTTTCTTATGTTTCTGCAAATAATAACCACATCAATATAAACTTTTCTAATTGATCATCTTGATTGCCTCATCATAGATCCTGTTTACAAAATTCTTATTTAAATTTGTTTTCCCCACAATATTTAAAGCGTTCTTACTGATTAAGATTTTCTCAAAATTGGTTACACTTAAGTATTTAAGTCTTTTTTCTCATAAAAGCCATCCCAAGACTTTTACATTTCTCATATCTTAAAAAAAGAAAAAAACACAAAGAAAATATTTCTTTTATATAAACCATCCCAATGTTTTTATATTTCTCATGTCAAAAAACAAAACGCAAAAGAAAGAAGAAAGAAAAAATATTGTATTACTTGAGGGGTTCATCCCTCTTAATTTGTTTACCAAGTATTAAGGTAATTTATATCCAAAATCTTTCTAATTCTTTAACCATATTCAAACAGATGTTTAATTTTTAAATATTCCTTCTGGTAAATCCCATCATCTAATTTCTTAATTCTTACTTTAGCCTCTTTTTTTTTTGCCAAACATCTTTCCTGATCAATATGCTTTGCTGAATCAAAGAATCTTCCCATAATCTTGTAAGTGTTGTTGCAAGTACAAACGGCAAAACAGGTAAGATGTTTTTATAGGAGGGTTTCACCCCTTCGTATTCATTGAGAATCTTTTGCTTTCTTTCTTTCTTGATTTTATTTATCATTTTTTGTCTCTCAAGTTCTTGTAGTTCTTCTGGCCAAATCCATTTTGTCAAATCTTTTTTCTTGTCCTCAAACTTATTTTGTAATCTTAGAGTATAGGTTGTCTTTTCCATGTCCAGTATTTCCTGTAAGTTTTTTTCCATCTGGGTTAAGTCATACTTCTTTTTATTGTTAAAATCTCTCTTCTCTGTCTCGTGTTCAGTTGTCTGTTTTTTTCTGCTCACTCTCTGTTTTTATTTTCTGATAATTTTTGTGTTGTACAGTTAAATTGGAGATGTGTTCATTTATATTTTCAAAGTTATATTTAATTTCCTCATGATTTGAGATCACTGTTGTATTTGTTTTTTCTTTGTATATTCTTTCTGCAGACCTCTGGGTTTCCATGATAGCCAAAAATCAAAGTTTTTCTTTTTCTGCAGATAGCTTTAGAGTCACAGTTGAGTTGGTATTTGTAATCCAGAAAGTTCAATTTTTTTCTAAAGTTTATAATTTTAACTTTATAAATAGCCCAAAATTCTCTCCCTCCCTCTCTCTCTCTCTCTCTCTCTCTCTCTCTCTCTCTCTCTCTCTCTCTCTCTCTCTCTCTCTCGTTACAGCTGTTCTCTGTTATTAAGACATTGAAGGTCACCAGAAACAATTTATCTTTTCCTGGGCTTTATCAGCTCCTGTGATAGAGCAACTGCTGTTATATGTTTTCATCCACCACTAGATGTCAGCACTAGTTCATTTTTCAGTAATAGACAATTGTTTATTTCTATTGTTTACTTCTATTTTCATAGTTTAAAAGGAAAATCTTAACAATTTCCACCGATTACAAACTTATCCAAATTAAGTCTTATATTCATTTCATTTCAATATATTTCTGTTCTCCCTGAAAAGTTTAATTCGCCGCTTCTGCCTGCAGGAGGATGGGGCAGATCCCTCTCCTTCTCATATTCGGAGACATTTTGCTTCTTGGGGTTTTTCTTTTTTTCCCCCCAGGAAATCAATTTTCAAATAGAAGAGAGAAAATCACTGTTCTTACTCAGTTCCAAACACCTTGTTTACAGTCAGCTTAAAGTAGTGCTTTTGGGCTTCGGCTGCTTGTAGCTTGGGCTAGACTCTGAAGTTAAGCTAACCTTTCTCCTGCTGGTTTCTGGAAGGCTTTTCCCGGACCGATCGAATCGACCGCCATCTCTCTGCAATCAGCGGGACTTCCTACCTTCTTTATTGCCTCTACGGGGCAACTTCAGGCCCATTTAGGGTCCCCTAGCAGGCAGAAATTGGCCGTAGGGTGCGGAGCCCTGTGATCCCTCAGCTGCTGCGTTACTGCACAAAATCAGAAGCCTTCATTGTTTGTTTTAAGTAAAAGTTTGTAATTGCTTCCTGGGTGTGTGTATATGAGCACACTTAGCCAGTGACAGATGAGGGGGTTGGGGAGAAAGATCAAGAAGGGGGTTAAAACAAGGTAAAGGTTTGGGGAAGTTTATCCTTCAGCTGTTGCCTTTGCATGCAGGGGCTAGCTTCCTAGCAAGAACCAGGAGAAATTTGCAGCCTCCCGAGAACAAGCTGATTGGAGCAGAAAGCTTGTAAACCATTTGCCATTTCTGCAAGACACTGTCAGTGCACTGAAAATGGTGGCTCTTCCAGGAGCCCAAGTGCTGCAAAGTCCCATTGTGGCAGAATAGGGGGAAAGAGAGGTGAAGTGCTATAGTAACCCATTGTAAGGACAAATGACTGTGGAGGCACTGCAGCTGTCATAATTTTGAAACACAGTTGTATGTAGTTTGGGGATGTCTGTTGTAAATTTGAACAGTCATTAAGTGGCCTAACATTTCTTGAGGATTACCTGTATTATTCCTTTAGAGTCTATGTTTCTATGTTTTTTAAAAAACAGTCTTCTGTATCCTGTTTTCTTCTCATAGACATTTTGTTTGAGATGACACTGCTTGATTAGTTAAATCTGTTTCCCAACAGATGCAAACCAGAAAACTATAGTTTACACACTACATTGTAAACCATTCCATGTATAAGCTATTCTATTCTTCTAACAGTTCTGTACATTCAGGTACTACTTCTTTTACTCTTAGGGCATACTAACATATATATGCTTCAGCCAGAAACAAATGAAATACTCTTATATAATGTGTGCCAAAATGTATTGTCAGGCTTACTCTTTCAATCAAAAGGCCTCAAAACATTGTCATTGTTGAATCAACCAAAATTGACTATGTTATAAAATGTAACACAAAAGCCAATAAAAATATCGCAGCAAGCCATCAATAGTATTAACAAAGTCATTAAATTACATTTCTAAATCTTAAGTGGCATGTTTAGACATTATAATAAGTCAGGCTCATAGCCACTGGCTCCCTTACTCAGTAAACCTGCTTAGTCTCATCTCCTATACAAGGTGATGACTTCCTCTATCAGGAACAAGCCAAAGAAAAACAAAGAAGAAAACAAAACAAACAAAACACCAATAGTTATTTCAAGTAGAAATGTGCAAAATGATTACAGCTTGAAATATTTCAAGCCCAAAATGCCTGGTCCAAGCATTCAATGCTGTTTTTCAAGAACTGTATTTCATTCTAATCGCTTGTTTTGATCCAAATTGAAATTGTGCTCTTTTGAGGACTGTTGCTTCATGTATTGTGCAAGGATTAATCTGCTTTATGATTAAGCCTTTCTTTTTTCCAACATGAATCAAATAGCACCAGCTAGTTTCATCTCCGATACTACTGGCTGGGATTAGGTGAAATGGGAAAAGAGTAAGATTAGAGAAGGATCTGAAGTCATTTAAGCATATATCAGAGACAGCTACTTTTGGGTCTAAGCTGAGACAGTAAACTTTTTTTCAAATTTCTGGAATATTCAAAATATCTCACATTTGGTTATGTTCTGAATTCTTGCCAAAGAGTTTTAATGCAACATGGAATGTAGCCAACTTGGAATTATCACACCTATTATTTGATGAAGCAAGCAATTTATTTCAAGTTCCCACAGGCTTTAGTTCTTCTCTTATAGAGGACAATTACAAATCAGTATGGATTCTGATTGCTATTTGTACTTTTCCATTGGCAGTATCAACCAGAAAAAGACTTTATATTTATGCCATAAAAGAAAGAAGGTTTTTAGCACATGGGATCATTCAGTTGAATTTGGGTTGTCAGGATACTGAGAATTTGTAAAATATTACATATTAATATACACTCAATTTTACCACATATTACTTCTTACCTTCTCAAAGTCTTTTGCAGACCTTTCTTCAACCTAGAGCGAATAAGAAAAAAGAAAACTTAATTTGATAATAAGGTGGCAAGTCCACAAACAGCTTCAATTGAAAACATATTCAGTACAAGTATTCCTCGACTTACAACCATTCAGTTAGTGGCCAAAATTCCAAGGTACTGGACATTCAAGTGACATGCAGCCAGTCCTCACATTTATGACTGTCACAGTATTCCCACCATCATGTGATCAAAATTCAACCAGCATGTATTTATGACAGTTGCAGCATTCCAGTGTCATGTGATTGCCATTTGCAACTTCTCAGCCGGCTTCTGAGTAGCAAAGTCAATGCGGAAAGCCAGATTCCCTTCATAATCACGTGACTTAACAAATGCAGTGATTTGCTTAACTGTGGCAAAAGAAGTCATAAAATCAGGTGCAACTCACTTAACAACCACTCAGCTTAGAAAAAGAAATTCTGGTTCCAATTGTGAATGTAATTCAACACGATATAACTGTAGTAATCAGTGCTCAGTCATTGCAGGGTGCAAATATGGCTGACTGCCTTCGCAGCGTTTATTCTTTTATACAGTTTTCCAAGCAGCAAAAGTTTAACATGGCAATAGCGTAGCAATAGCATTTCATTGGTTAAACTCCTTACCAATCCTTAAAAATAGAAAGACAGGAGGCCCAAAACAGGGAGCAGTTTGCTGTAACATCCTGTTGGTGTAAATTAGCTGATATCAGGCAGGTGAGGTCATTGTACCTGGGGTAGTTTCCCACATTGCCATGGTGATTGTAGGGATGAGATCATGTAGAGAGAAGAGGCACGCAGGCATTGGAAGGGCAGTTTGCTGCTCACAACCTCTACCTGGCCCCTATCTCTACATATAACACCATTTATTTGTCAGCTTGACATAAATCTAGATAACCAACCAAATAAGTGTCTATAGGCTTGAATATTAACAAGATACTTCTTTTATCATATCCAGGAAGACCAACACAGGATATCCTATTTTTCACTTCTTACCATTGTAAGACTAGTAGAAAAAAAACCTGCTAATTAAACTAACTTTTTTTTTGTAAAAGTTTTATTAGTTTTTTTACAATAACAACCTTAGTGCCTGGTGTACAGCATGTTGTCTTAGTTCATAAATTTTTAGAGAAGAATATACAATTAATAATAGTAAATAAACAATCAATAATAATTAATTTTTATATTTCCATAATTAGTATATCAATTAATAATATATTTCCTTGATCTTCTCTTCTACAACGTTAAAGAAATATAATTTCTAATATTTGATATTTTCAATATTTAAATGATTAAACAAAAACATTTTCTTCTATATTTATACCAACAATAGTAGCATCCATATATAGCATTTTTTTTCTTATCAACTTATGTTATTTCTGTAAAAGTCATCTTATTGATTCACCATATATCTTATTTTTATAAATCTTGTTTAAGCTCAATTTCTCCATAATATTCAAACAATTCTTGTTGATCATATTTTCCCCAGTGTAAGGACCCACCCCACTTTGCATCTTAAGAAGACAGAACTCTTGGAATATTTCTTCCAACAGGCATCCTTTATTAAGAGAAAAAGGTTGCAGGCGTTCTAGACAGGACCTGGGGCCCACGCCCTACGGTTCAAGGTTTTAAAGGGTCCCCAGCAGCCCCACCCCACCATCTTTCCAGCGACAATCCCAGGCGGTACATTTTCACCCCCTTTTTCCTCGCTGCCGGTGGAAGGGAGACTTCAGAGAGAAGTAGATGAAAACTGATGACCCCACTGTTATGCTTTAGTCCTTTTGGTATTATCCACATTCAATCCCTTTGAAGTTGTACCGAAGGAAGTGAGGGCCATAAAGCCCCTTTGTTCACCCCCCTTCCCCTTCATTGTATGACAGAATCCAAAGAGAGCAGAAATGGGGTTTTCCATAGTCGATAACTAGAGATGAAATATAATTGGATTCTGACATCCTCCCCCCTTAAAAATAAGATAGATCCACCTGAAAGAAAACAAAACAGGTATAAAAATTAGTCAGGCTTGTTAGGGTACTCTGTGTGAAACTTCTTTAATAGCTTCGGGGCTCTGACATGACATTTATGGACCCACTCATTTTGTGAGGCAGGGAGGTGTTTCCATGCAACTAGGTACTGAGTCGCTCCATGATATCTCCTAGAGTCTAGGATTTCCTTTATTTCAAAGTGTTGTTCGCCCTCCACCATGATTGGAGATGGTGGTGGTGGGGATTTTTGGCCGTAACGATGACTGATGCTCTCTTTTCAGCAAGCTGCAATGAAAAATTGGGTGTATTTGCCTGAGATTTTTGGGTAATTCTAATTCTACTGTTACTGGGTTCATGATTCTTTTAACTGGAAAAGGCCCTATATATTTTGGTCCAAGTTTTTTACAGGGTTGTAGGGACTTTAGGTATTTTGTAGATAAGTACACCCTTTCTCCTATAATGAATGTTGTAGGCTCAACCCTTTTTTTATCGGCTTGTGCTCTGTATGCCTGCCTACCTTCATCTAGAGCTTTTCTAACTATTGGCCAGGTGTTTTGTAATTGTTCCGTCCATTCTCTCAGTAATGGGATTGCTGGTTTCTGTGGGGTTAATTCTGGCATGGGGTTGAAACTTTGACCGGTGGCTATTTGAAAAGGAGTGTAGCCTGTGCTGGAGTGGACTGGGTTATTGTAGGCAACTTCTGCGAAAGGGAGTAAGTCCGTTCAATTTGTTTCCTGAAAATTAATAAAGCATCTTAAATATTGCTCAAGTACTGAGTGACACTGTTCTGTTTGTCCATCCCCTTGTGGATGATGGCTAGATGTCAGTCCCTGAGTGGTCCCTAAGAGAGATAAAAATTTCTTCCAAAATGCAGACGTAAATTGCATTCCCTATCAGAGATGATGCGTTGGGGTACCCCATGCAATCTGTAAATGTGCTGGACAAAAAGTTTCACTAAGGCTTTTGCGGTGGGAATCTTTTGGCAAGGGATAAAGTGCACCTGTTTGGAAAACAAGTCCGTGACCATCCAGACAACAGTAATCCCATTGCTTTCTGGTAATTCCACTATAAAATCCATGGCTATTTCCCTCCAGGGGGCTGAGGGATTTGCCACTTTTTGTAACAGTCTGGGCGATATCCCTTGCAACCTCTTTGGAGTTGCACACTTTGGGAAGCTGGCCACATAACTTTCTATCTCCTTTTTTATGGATGACCACCAAAATTGCCATTTAATTAAGTGTAATGTTTTGACAAATCCAAAATGCCCTGCTGATTTTGTGTCATGGCAAAGCTGCATGAATGGACTCTTTGGGTTGTTGGTATATATAACTTTTCCCCCACCCAAGGCAGCCCGTCTCTCATTGTGCACACATTTTTGTTTTTCTGGAACCATTCATCTGTTTCCAAAGTTTTTCTGAATTCAATTCCAGTTTGGCTGCCCAGCTATGGTTTTAATTTAGCTTCGGCTCTGGAGGTTACTGGCACTGCCAGTTGTGATTCTACCATCATCGGTTTAGAGTCTGTGGTTCGCGTGCTGTTATATTGGATCTGCCAGGAAGTTCTCCCCCCCCCGGCAAATACTTGAATGTAAATTGGAACTCGTGAAAATGCTGGGACCAGCGAGCTTGTTTGGGGTTGTTCCTGGGTGTTTTCAGGGCTTCCAAATTTTTGTGGTCAGTCCACACCTGGAAAGGGATTTTGTTGCCTTCAAGGAACTGGCACCACGTGAGTAATGACCAACGTATCCCGTATGCCTCTTACAGGCCAGTGCTGTTCCGTTTCTGTGAGTTTCTTGGATGTATACGTACAGGGTTGCAATACCGCTTCATCATTTTCTTGTAATAGTACAGCCCCCACTGCCACATCACTTGCATCCGCCTATATTACGAAGGGCTTATCTATGTCTGGGTGCCTCAGTACTGATTCAGCAGAGAAAAGTCTCTTTAATCTCTCAAATGCTGCTTGGCACTCCATTGTCCAGGTTAGTGGCTGGCTAGGTTTTACTGAGGAAGCTCCCTTTGTTTTTAGTAAGTTCGTGAGGGGCAGAGCTATCTGGGCAAATTAGGGGATGAATTGGCAGTAGAAGTTTGTGAAGCCCAGGAAACTTTGCAGTTGCTTTCTTGTGCAGGGTGGTGCCCATTCTAATACTGCTCTGACCTTCTCTGGGTCCATTTCAATGCCCTATGAGGATATGCGATAACCTAGGTAGTCTATCCTTTCCTGGTGGAATTCGCATTTCGAGAGTTTGTCATATAGGTGGGCGACTCGCAGTTTCTTTAAAACCTCTCTGACTAGGTTGACATGCTCCTCTTTTGATTCGGTGAAGAGAAGAATGTCATCTAAGTAAACCAGGACCCCCTTAAATAGGTGCTCCCTTAGAACATCATTGATTAATTGCATAAATACTGCGGGGGCACCTTGTAATCCAAATGGCAAGACTTTGAATAGGTAGCACCCCATGGGGCAGTTAAATGCAGTCTTCCATTCATCCCCTTCCTTAATTCTCACGCAATAGTAAGCTTCCCTTAGGTCTAGTTTAGAAAAAAATTTCCCTTTTGAGAAGTGTGACAACATGTCCTTCATGAGGGGCAGAGGGTATAGGTTGCTTTCACTGATTGTATTCAGGGCCCTATAATCCACGCATAAGTGTAAAGAGCCGTCCTTCTTCTCTCTAGAGGACCGGGGCAGCCACTTTAGGCTTGGCTGGCTCAATGAACCCCCTTTCTAGGTTTTTCTTTATGAATCTTTCCATTTCCTCCTTCTCCTTTGGGCTCATGGAGTATAATCTGGGCTTCAGGAGTTTTGCCCCAGGCTTGAATTCAATGGCACAGTCTGTGGGTCGGGGGGGGGGGGAGCTCATCCGCCCTCTCCTCACTGAAAACTTCAGCAAGGTCTCTGTATTCCTCTGGTATTTCTGGTAGTCCCTTTTCCTCTCCCATGGATGCTTTTTTTGTTCTTGATTCTGATAGGCCCCCCTTGGGATTTTAAGTCCATAGAGTCCCCCTTCGGGAATTTGATTTCTGCCA